AGGCTCGCTGACTTGGTTGACACATGTCATCGTATCCCAGTTGCATAGATTGATGCTCATGCTGTTTATCACTGGATTGTCTGGTCCAGACTTAATCATTTACATACCGTTGCCACATAGCCAGAATATTGCTGAGAGTTGCGTTAAACAACATACCAACCAACCAATCATAGGAGATGGTGAAAACAAAAGTTCAAGACAACTGAACAATGGACAACGGGCCACAATATGACTTCAGTTGACTTTTGTCCAGCTGACCTAAAATCCAGAAACTGTCAAAATTACTGGTCAAAATAATTTCTGATATCGTGACCTCTATAAAAAAAGAAGATTCCATGTAAGGATTTCAGTGTCTATGCTACATGTTCGACTTTTTAAGGTTGAACCTGAGAACAAATAATACTAGAGCTGTATTTGAGTATTGACCATTATATCACAGATAGAAATATGCTGATAAAAAATTATTAATACCAGTTGATCCAATCACCTGTACCCACCTAGGATAAGTGAAAAGTGAGTTCCTTGGACATATATGCTATTCAAAAGAGTCTTGGCATGTGGGGAATAGAACCTTTAAGGTTAAGAACACCTTAACCGCCCAGCCACCCAACAGTTTGTATCCTGAGAATCCTGATCACGTTAATAACAAAACTAAAGTATCAACAATGCTTAAGTTAACCAAACTTTTATCATAGTGCTTAGCGAAAATGAAACTTTACAGCTTTTCAAAAAATATAAAAAATATGTAAAAAAACTACAACCAAAGTAGGCTTTTTGTCTTTTGTATTTCAAGAATAACTTTGTAACAATGGTGGTATCAACCTGTTGAACAAATTCTCTTTCATGAACAAAACCAGCCCATTTAGTGAGTGAGTGAATATGATTTTACGCCACTTTTACCAATATTCCAGCAACATCACGGAGGTGGAAACCAGAAATATTCCTCACACCCATCTCTTTCAGGACACTCAGTTTAACTCTGGTATTTGAGCATGCTGGGTTTAACTCTGCTTGCAAGCTGACACACTTTAAAAGAGTTTATTTATCCAGAAAACCCCTTTAAAAGGTTTCTGTCCACTATGACACCTACAGTGGGTGTGTAAGCAAAGTGCTGTTATATAATCCAATGTAGAGCATCCACTGGTCAAAATACCTACAATGCTCTTAAAATCCATTTGTAATTTCATCTGTGCTCTCTTGTAGTGAGTGAGTGAGAGAGTGTTACGCCGCTCTTAGCAATATTCTAACAATATCACGGCAGGGAACACCAGAAATGGGCTGCACACATTGGACCCATGTGGGGATTCGAACCCAGGTCTTCGGCATGCCACGAGAACGTTTTACCCACTAGAGTACCCCACCACCCCTACTCTGTTATAACACACTGGCCAATATCAGTATTGATTCCATATCATGGTTCTCCGTCACACATCAGTAATACCTCTTTATGTTTTAAAACAGTAAGACTACAGTGGAAGCTGTCAAAACCGGCAGTTGACCAATTCAATCTTATCTGGCATAAAATCTCAGTCCCGCCCGTGGCTAGTGCAATTATCATCATTTAAAAGCTCTGCAATCCGGCAGCTGTCAATTCCGGATCTCGGCATGAAATGAGCCACCTGAATATGGGGTTTATACTGTAACCAGCGCGCTGTCTAATCCATCGTGTGGCGTGGATTCGGCTGAATGTGTCTTGCGTTGAAACTACATGGTTGCCGACAAAGACATTTTAATCCTAGTTCAGTGTGGGTATACTTGTACATGTAACTGGTGTGTTGACATGTTCTATTGTGATAGAACAATGTATATGAGAGTGACAAAACTTGTTCACTTCTTAAAATTTAGTCGGAGGTAACCGTGTAATCTGTACAATCCGGCACGCTGTCTAAACCGGATTATTTCTTTAGTCCCGACGAGTGCCAGTTTAAACAGCTTCCACTGTATATTCAGAAACAACAGAACAGAACAGAACACTACTATATCTCTGATACAACCAGTATGTCACCAAAATCGTTGCCATAGTAACCATAAAGTGCAACATCAGCTGGAAAAAAATTTCATATGGCCTTTCTCATCATATTGCATAAGATCAATATTTGTATTGATTTGTTGTCCATGAAGACAGTATTGACATTAACACTACTTGTCATATGATAGGAAAAAGTTGCTTTGATGATGACAATGTGATAACAAAATATAAACTGAATGGAATAATTTTACTCAAGGCATACATGTGTTATAAAGTTGATGAGTTGAAAATAGGAATCAAAACATATATGACTACAGTGATGTAAGTATTGTATCCTGATACAAGGCCTAGTTTACAATACAATGTGTCATGTGTTGGTGGTGAAAAACATGAATAATAGCACATGTAACCAGTGTGAGAAATAGTTTCCAAATTTTGCTAGCTATGCCTGAAAGCCCACAAAATAATTCACTAGTCCGAAATTTGAATGTAGACACAGGTTTCATCATTAAGCTGCTAATATGATGAACATTTTTATCAGGACATAATCTTGCATGATTTAAATGTGTTATAACTTAACAAGTCGGAGAGGGTGATATATTTGCAAAATAGTGACTGTGGAGATTTACTGGCCCAACTGGACTTTTACTAGCCACAGGCTATCAGGCAAGTGGCTATTTCGCATACTGCATATAAATGATCAACAAGCTTATGCAGTTTCTTTAGCATTTTCCAGCTAGCAATATATAGCATGACATTCACAGTGCCCTCCAGTCTATATTTTCCCCCTACAATGTCTCATCTTTGAACTCTGAAACAGAAAAATAAATAGTGTTGGTGTAAGAACTGTATCACAAGGATAGTATCATGATACGTCTCGTATCTCATCCCCACTGTACAACTCTACACTACACCTTAATTACACTACCTCAATTATGCATATGAAAACTAATTTCCTTCCACTAAAACTAACTAATAGTATAAACTATTTGCCCACATATTCTACAACTAATTCAAACCCTCTACAAATCACAATAGCTCCCTCTCAGACAAAATTATTAAGGAACATTTCAATACATCTGTATTTCATAGGTCATGAGGCCTTTCATATGAGCTTCAACTTCTCCAGATTTGAATTGTTGCTACAAATGAAAATTTAAAAAATCTTCCATCTCACACCTTCATAGAAATACAATAGCAGTCTGAATAAAGTCAGAACAAAAATCATGTTAATATAAAATTCACCTGATATAACAAAGAGTTGTCAACAATTCTTTTTTGGCAAAAATCTTCTAATTTTAGTTTCCTTTTTCATCATATGATAGTGTAAACCAACTTGAACATTTATAAGGCTAAATCACAATTTTATAGTACAACAGATAATTGTTTAAAAAAATATGTACATAAAAAATTTTATAGAAAAGGTGTGAAAGGCACCTGCAGTTAAATACATGTTATTAACCATATATCTCATGTACAACAATCACAATCAGAGAAAACTTCTCCGAAAATATTCTGTGACAAGCACTAAAATATCTCCAAGTAAATATTTCAATCTACAAAGAATTAAACTTTGTTCAGTTGAAAATGCATAACTTAGTGAAGATATACATTTGTGTTCCACAAAGAAAGGACAAGAAGAAATGTAGAAGCGTGACTTATAGACCATGCAATGAAGTGATAAACAAACACTGGTGGAAGGGAAATAACTCTTGATAGCACCATCTTAACAATTGAAAAACAAAACTCAGTTGGCATCTTGGGGCAACTTTACTGCTGCTGTTTGATCAAGAAAGTATTTCCAACATGTACAAAACCTGGGCTTGAATTTAAAAAGGTTTCTTAAAATTGAAATATTTTCCTTTAAGTTCAAATCAATCTACCTTTCACCAGAGACCATATAATAAATCAAAATAAAATATTATTATACGGATTCTGCTTTCACATTGCATGTATGACTGAAGCAATTTACTTGTGAACGATTCATCATTCAGATGGAACATTACTGATGAACAGATAACATTCACCAATTATTTTCAGAAATGTGAACAGTCACGAAAGATTATTCCATCCATTCATTCTCTGGCCCACAAAAGAAAAACGATTCTCATCTTTGTATGTATCATTTTACACCAGGCAGATCAACATTTCTTATTCCCAGTTCTGAATTTAGCCATTCCTACTTTTCTGCAATTTTTAGACTTCAGTTAGAGTTACCTTTCCTTTAAAATGTCACCTCCATGTTAATTACATTTATATTTGCCCATGTATTGTGCACATTTATTTAAAGCCCAAGCTTGGATGTCGTCTACATCTGCAGTTTGGAAACAAAACCATGGACACCAAAAAATAGTAAAGATAGAAGATAAAAGCCTGGTGACCTTGCCATTTTGAAATATTGAATTGATGAGAAACATTTTTTTTTTGTGGCCATACATTCAGTATCCTTCAGACATTGACAAGAGTCACATATTATATATTAACGTAAATGTCAAAGTTAATCTAAACTATATCACTTCACACACAGAAAATTCCAAATTGAACAATTTAACATGCATAATACATTTTTCATTGTTTGATCAAGGTCTCATTGACTAGACAGTACACTGGCACCTCGTCTTTAATAACATGAATTCTTTATGATGTAGTAGATTAAAATGCGTCTTTCACAACTTGGGTCTTGCAATTCTACAGTCCTTTATATTCACAAATATGAATATAGTTTATGCTCTCAAATAACAACCTTTCTTTTTACCTGCTAAGGGACCGTTCACAATTTATGGCTTTTTATTTTATTTTTGTTATTTATTTATATTTTGTTTGGGGGGGAGAGGGAGAGAGAGAGAGAGAAAGGAGAAGGGGTGATGTTAAGGGGTCTGGCGGGCTAGTCGGCCATCAATTTTGTACACACACCTACTGGGGGGTCATCAATTTTGTACATTAAATTATGCTTAGAAATTATGGGTAGGGGAGGGGGGGTAATTGATTTTGTACATGACATGCAGGGGGGTCACTTATTCTGTACATAAATTTTAGGGGGGCATTCACATTGTACAAGATTCTACATAAAAATCATCATCGACCCCACCCCTCCCCTAGCCATAAAGTATGAACGGTCCCAACACAGTAATACATGTCTGAAAAAACAAATTTCAGGCTAACTATTTTTGGGGTATGGTAAGGAGGTAAGTCTTTGTCATGGCAAAAGCCCCTTGAATTGGCAAGACTTTTGTTAACGTTTTTCATGTAACCCCACAAACCATATTTTACAGAAATATGACCATGCCAAAATATAAATGATTACCATCTAAAACTGAACCTATGTTATGTTTTTGAAAATTTCATGAAACCAAGTATGACAGGAGGCAGATCCAAGTAGGAGCACGGCCACGATAATCCAAGGTGCTGTACATTAGGTTGAATAAATAATGATAAGTATCACAATTCAAATGTGGTTCAGGCATGCATGTTATCTGACGTAATAAGGTACTGATAACCTCACATGTCATCATAATTATATAATCTGCACTTCAGTTTCAAACACCATATTTAACAAGAAATAACCCAAAAGTCCACACCAATTAAAATAACATGCAAAATAACTGAATACCTGGTATAAGTATCAGGTGGCATTGATATAAAAGTCATATATTAAATGTCCAGAATCATAAATTAAAAATATGATGATAAAATATCAGAAAATTATAGTTTGAATCAATGCCCAACTAGGTGAGTGATGTTGTACTCAAGATGGCGACTGACATCTTGACCTTGAACTACTATCTCATGACCAAGCACACTAAAAAGACATTATATCTGAGAATAAATGTCTTAATTTTACAAAGTACATCACTGCACAGAGTTGCATCCCTTTGCAGTCCCAGGATCCTCTTTGGTCAAATTCAAGATTCAAGACTTACACATTACAATTGTGTGATTGAGTTGGGTTTTCCGCTGCTTTTAGCAATTCTCCAGCAATATCATGGCATGGGACACCAGAAGTGGGCTTCACACATTGTACCCATGTGGGACTCAAACCCAGGTCTTCAGCATGATGAGTGAACGCCTTAACCACTGGGCTACTCCATCGCCCCACATTACAATTGAACTCGCATTTAATATTACCTGAACGGAAGGCAAATAATTTTCTTTTGACACAAAACATTATATTCCAGAACATCCAGTTTGTCCAGTAGATACTTGTTTTCTGAAACGTTAGGATATTTTCAGGAACAAGAACAAAAAGGTTCTTTAAATTCTAGGGCCAAAGGATTGATTAACGGAAATATTGTTGATGTGCTAAATTATCAACGATTATTGATATGAAAATTGCATCATTGATATCAAACATTAACTATTGAGGTGAAATAAAGTTTTACATACACAATACACAAAACTATGTCTATATCAACTTAGTGTGATAAAAAGGCTGTCCAATTTTGTGCCACAGACCAATTTGGTGAAATAAAACAGCCAAGGTATAATTCTGTCAAACAAAAGATTATACCTGGGGAGATCTGAGATTTGACCTTGTGATCACAGGATCCTGGCATGCATAAGGGACACAACTCTTCATAGCAAACACCTAGCTTTAAACCCTGGTCCATCTGTGCTTCCTTGAAGTGAGATATCCGTAATTCAACCACATCAACAAGCTGGACTAGACACTAGAAACAATTCCCTGTGATTATACCATTAAAACTTGGTCTTCGGTCTCAGACTCAATGGTCAAAAGAAGAATATGCATGGAAGAATCATATTTCTCACTGACTACAAAAACTAAAAACGGTCAAGGACAGCATATTTTGTTACAATGCACAAAGGAAAATGTCAACCACAAATTTTTTTAAATTACTAAAAACTGCAGTTGAACTGGCTGCACTCAGCATCAAAACAAAGAAATGAAAATAGAAAGATATAAAGTGGCCTCTGAGACATACGTTGAGAATGTGTGCAGGTGATACGGAGCGCTGAGTGAAGCCTAACATCAGCTGATGACCTCCACAAATGCTGCTGGAAACATCCCTGACCTCCCATCGAGGTCACCATACCGCCAGTCTGGCGACCCTGCCACATCCTCACCAAGGACAATCACGTCACCTATCTAGAAACAGGAAAATCGGTGTGATTTCTATGATTACATTCCAAAGAATTACTACTGGTACCATGTTTCTTTATGAATTCTTATCATTAGTATTAAACTAAATATTATTATTATTATTATCATTATCATCTTATCATTAGTCAGTAGTCTTGCATAGTATCAAATGGTGGTATTAAAAATTGTAATATAAGGAGAGAGTGACAAGTATGGGCACGTCACATGGTACGTTTGCGCGTGAAAAGGCAAGGGAGGTAACTCGTGGGTGAGTATTTATACGTCCGCTTCGGGAACTTCAAGGGATTCAAGTGTTCCACTACCATTCGAAAGGGAAAGGGAGATAAGCAAAAGATCATGAGTCAGGATAAGGAAAAATTTGAAGTTTCAAAATATCTTCTGCTAAAACTACTAAGGTCTGACTTCACCTTGGGACCTACCTTGAAGGAGAGTTCCTGATCTGATTCTCCCTGGAAGTCATATAAAGCTCTGGCCTGGATCTGAGGCTTTGCTTCATCTGGTATATGACTGGCTGGCTCAACTGTGAACATACAAACATCATACAAACAACATACATCTATTCGGGTGAAACAATTATTACATGATGATATTATATAGCGCACATATCCATGTGACTTGTACATGCTCAAGGCGCTGGTATTTCCCTCGATCACTGGATGTCAATCTCAACAGCACATTGTATTATCAATCTCAACTCCCCAGGGAGCATACAACTCTTGCAGCCACTAGACGCACTGAGTTTCATGGCTTTCTCACCCTTACGAGGGACCCATTCACAGCTAGGTGGACTGGGACACATAGTCACAGTACTTTGTCCAAGTTCACTGCACGTTGCTGTACCCGCAACTAGGTGTTTGCATGTATTCATGTGGCCACCATCTGGTCATATACCAACGGATTTGTGGGTTCTTGTAAGTGCACAGGGTTGTGTACCGTACACTAGGGGTTGTGACAAAAATACCCCAGTGCAGTTTTTCATGCAAAGATAACATACATGTATGTGCTTTTCTGTATCAATACAAGATGAAGTACTTCCTACTCATTCAGTGATACACTCAAACCCCTGTGTATTTTTCTCTCAAATATTGCAAAATGAATTGTAATTAGCGTACAAGTTTATTAGTTAAAAGAACTGGCCTGAACATGCATTCCTTTGCAACCCGCTCTGAAATATCTACAGTCAAGAGGTTTGTATGCGATTTGGCATAAATATACATATCGTGTAATGTATTACATCCTGACCTATGTATCATCATCATCATCATCATCATCATCATCATCATCATCATCACTGTGATCATCATCATCATCATCATCACTGCCATCATCATCATCATCATCATCATCATCACTGATCATCACCATCATCATCATCATCATCATCACTGATCATCATCATCATCGTCATCATCATCATCATCATCATCAAAGGCATACAATTTGACTGATGTAATTAGGACTTATGTGAAGATCATTTTATAATACAAGAGAACTACAGCGTTAGGCTGGTTACAGACAGATATGGTTGTGCATCAAGTCTGTGAAAAACTATAGGGGTAAAATGCTGTAACAGAACAGAGATATACAACACTGTATAATCAAGGAGGATACCTTCAGCCTCAGGTAGATCCTTCTCTATGGTGACAAAGGCTGCTGGGAACATGCCCTCCCTGCCATGACATCGCCCCCTCAACCAGTCACCTCCGATCTTCTCCAGCAGCTGAATTGTCTCCCCTGTCTTGAAACTCAGGTCGCCATCTTGTTCTCCTCCATAATCAAAGCTTGCCTTGCAGTAGGGATGTGATTGGTCAGTAACCGTTGAACTTGGGTCTGCCATTGGCTGAATTAAAAGGAGTAACATTTCTGTATCACACAGTATACCACCTGGATGTGTTGTGTCTATTGTTTCAGCTGGTTGTGATTCTGTGATTCAAATTCTTCATGATGTCCTCTACATGTGCAACATGCCAATGCTGGACAGTTCGATTCATACAAGATGAGAGCAAGCCTTGATTCACAGTTTTGCAGTTTCATATTAAGTGCATTGTGCTCATGCCCCATGTGGTAAAAGTTGGCTTGCATCCCCCTTGTGTGGGTGACAAACACACCTTGAACCATGAAAGTTGAACCTTGGGGAAGGAGCTAACCTATATGTCTAATATAGAGTGAAACCTTGTTATTCCACACCCTTTTCAACAAGAAACCCTCCTGGAACCTTCAACTACTGGAAATGGTTACATGGATCGAAACTATTTACATTGTCCATAGAATAAGTTGAAAGGGGTTTGACTGCATGGGTTATTTGTGATCCGAATATTTTGTCTTTGTAGCAACTGAATTTGATCAAATATTCACATATATGCAAACAAATGTCTGTCAAACTTAACTCAAAACCTGCTAATTGCATATAAAGTTTAACAGTATAGATAAAAACTCCATAGTGCCATTCTTGGACTGTGCGTCACGACTATTGAAGTTCCATTTTGAAGAATGCTTGGTCATGTGTCGACATTCTATACCAACCTGGTTATAATCATCTACATCATGTGTAATATCCATCATTTGACTGGCTGACCAAGGATCATGTGACTGTGCTCCAATCTGATTGGCTGGTTGATACGGGGGAAGGTCAGATGGTATATAGTCTATGAAGGCCGAGGGGAACGTCCCTGACTGTCCATCCATCTGTCCGTACAGCCACTCTGTGTTGACTTGGCTGATTACCTGGATCTTCTGTCCAGCCTTCATAAACAAGGGTGAGTGAGTGAGTGAGTGAGTGAGTGAAGGAGGGAGTGAGTGAGTGAGTGAAGGAGGGAGTAAGTGAAGGGGGAGTGAGGGAGTGAAGCAGGGAAGAAGATAGGAATGGATTAACACTCAAGCAAACCGGGACACAAGCACAGACCTTCAGTGAGGCAAGCAAACAATGTGGCTATCCCTTGCCTAAAGTCCACAGAATTATTTTGAATGCAAACCTTTGTGCCCTTGTGGACAAACCAGATTGGTAAGTCCAAACATGGTGCATGTGCATTATGTAATACTTTCCCAAAAGATAACAGAAAATGAGATGTGCGAGTGAGTGTTTCACCATAGCCATCAATCTAGGTTTCCAGGGAAGTGAGTAAACATGACAAACACTGCCACTTTGCCCTGTATCCAAAACAGATTTATTACATCGCCTTCACAAGCAGATTAGGAAGGAAAATGTTTCTTATTCTTAGATCAGCCGTAATATAGGTACAATTTCAGTCCTTTGTTCACCATTAAGACTTATATCGACTAGACATGGTACAAAAAAAGACTGAAAGAATGTTACGTTTAACTTCAAAACAATCAATCACTCAGTGACCCAGATCAATGTATATTGATTACCTGGAAGCTCAGTTCATCGCCTTGTCCATCGAAGTCAAACATCGCGGTCGCGTGACCATCCTGTGACTTGCTGTCTGTATCATCCAGTGGAAGGTCCTCAACAATCTCCACGAAGGAAATGGGGAATATTCCGACTCGGTCCCCGAGTTCCCCTCGTAGCCACTCACTTCCAACCCTTCCCACCAGGCGGATGACGTCATCCTCCTCAAACACCAGGTCATCCTTCCCTTCGCCGTCAAAGTCAAACCGTGCTACACAACGAGGGCCTGATGTCACACTTGGCGTTGTCTTCTTCACGGGCACCGGACTGTCCCATGAGGGCAAGTCCGGTTTGATAGCAAAGTCAGATAGCTGGAATAATCAGGATACCAATAACAGCATATGTTACATTTTATCATAAAAAATGGCCTCCACAGGCAATATCACTAGGCTATAAGGAATATCCAAATCAAGGGAGATAATGTCACAATGAAATTGCAACACAGTGTGATGCCATTGTGATGTCACTCTTTCCCATTCACGACTTTAAAGTAGGATCTACAAATAAATATGTACGTCCAAGCACATCCAAAGCTCATTCACAGACATACATCACCAACAGCAATGCCACTCCCCAAAGCCTAAGTAAGACTCTTACTTAACTGTTTCCTTTGGAAACATCTACCTTTCATAAAAGGGAGATAATGTCAATAACAGCCATACCATTGTTTTATGTTTCCCAAAGGCTAAGTACCACCCTTACTTTACATATTCCATGTTCCATTTGGAAACATCTACATCTATCGTACATTGAGTCATACTGATCTCACTGCATGTTTCAGGGATGGGTTACTGACTGATTAAATATAAATCTATTTTTAGCTGATAGCCATGTTGGGATTTCCCTGCTATTTGGAAGACATGGCAATAAGTATAATAAACACATGGATTTCTGATCTTGAATCCTGATCTTTCCTGTCACAACTCCACACAGCTGTAGCCCACATCTGTATAGCAGAACCTCACCTCGTCATGTAGGGGATGGACAATGTCCACAAAACCTGCGGGGAACATCCCTTCCTTGGCCCCGACTCTCCCCACCAGCCAGTCAGCATCAACACGCCGCACCAACATCACCACCTCCTCAGCCTGCAACACCAGCCTACACTGTAGGTTCCGTATTCACCTTGTGTAGTGTATGTAGCACAGCAATATTTAATCTAAATAACAGTTGCCTGTAAATAATCAAGTCTGGACCAGACAATCCAGTGTTAGATGAACAATGCTAAATGCAATATAAAGACACAACATCAGCCAAGTCACATCAGCTATTGTATGTCCTCACTCCAAAGATTCAGGGTCTCACATTTTATCATCAACACAGATTCCTGAGCTCGCATTAATTTCCTGACACATTTTAGACTAAACCCTCGCACTCACATTAATTTCATGATTTACAGTAAGAGGAACACAATGTTTTGGAGTTAATTTACATTTTGATGACATCCATTAATCCCTACCAATCCCCTACCCCCCAACCCCCTTTATATGTTCGATTTTTTTAGCTCAAAATAGCGGCAGATATATACATGCTGCATTGGAAAACATATCAGCAGAGCAATTTGCACCAAGTGACTGTACTTTCTAGTGACTGATGCCTTGATTTCAATCTTAGTTTCAGAGAATAAATACACATATCATAAATGCCCTGAAAAGTCAGGTAATAAGTACTATTTTCTGTTGAGAGTAAGTCGATATCAACAGGTTCCCTGTTTTAAAAGGCTCAGCTCATCTCAAGACTTGATCACACTCACTGACATTAACAGATTAAAGTGAGCGTCAACTACCAGCGTATCATTTGTCATACAAATTAATGTTGTTCTGCCTTTGAACAATATAAGTTAATCAGCATAGGTGAAAAGTGGTTAAGATGATTTGCTTTAAAACAACAAAACTGCTGTCATACATGTTTGATGCATAATTTCTATGGACTGACTGAGTTTGGTTTTACGCAGCTTTTAGCAATATTCCATCAACATCACGGCTGGGGACACCAGAAATGGGCATCACACATTGTGCCCATGTGGGGATTCGAACCCGGGTCTTCGGCGTGAAGAGCCAACACTTCAACCATTAGGCTACCCCACCGACCCTAATTTGTATGGAGCATGTCTTACGTCAAGGACAGTGGATTACATTGTTTGTTGTGAGCCTTGTTGTAAACAAGTATGTCATCATTTATGCCCATGCAATGAACAGGATGTAACAACACACTCCAACATGTCCAGATAAAATTGAGAACAAATGTAACTCCATGATTTCCTGTACTTACCTTAAATGAAATTTCGTCAGCATGTGACGCTTCATAATCAAAATTGGCGATGGCGTGCGGAACCGACAGAGTGTAGTGATACAAGATGTGGTCAGGTCCAGGACGAGAAGGGAGGTCTGATGAACAGAATACACATCAAACATTGTGAAATTGTTTCTGTTGTGATGTATGTATCATGTATAAACATGTACATATTAGGGGTGGGTATTGCAGAGAATTTTCAAATTGCAATATATTGCAATGCGAAAGCATATATTGCGATATGTTTTGCAATATATTGCAAGAAGTATTTTTAAACAAAAAACTACTATAATCGAGTTAATGCTTGGTTTTTAAAGCATGAACACAACAAAATCACTATGCTTGATTAAGCTTTAATAAAAACTTTTAAACATGATAAAATAAAAATGTGAATAATATTTGGCACAAATGAAACAAGGAAATATCCGAAGACTTCCGAGTGTTACAAAGTTTTCCGAATGCAAGTCAAAATACCGGTTTTCGATCAGCGTATTGCAATACATATCGTTTTCATGTCTGAACCGGTAAATACTGGTAAACCGGTTATATTGTAGAGCCCTAGTACATATCGTGTATTCATCATGCAAATTCCCGTATATATATACTTATCAGACTTTGTTGTTAATCATTAGAGAACTGCAGTGGTTAGAGACAATGTGCATTTGATAAGATCATATGAAATATTTCCATAAGTTTTAAAGAGTTATATCTTTATCTTTATAATTCATCAAAGCAGGGTCCCTAAATTGAAAATAGGAAAAACCTCCAGAATGTGTTGCAATGGATACGTATCTCAGGAAGCACCCACCTGGTGTCCGAGCTCCAGCCTTGGGGGGTGAGGGCTTAGCTGGCAGCTTCTTTTTTTGTGGTGATCCACTATAAAAATAAAACATTCAACTCTCTTGTTACAAGATACATGCAGCAGTGTCAACAAAAACATTTCCTGGTTTAATAATTTTCCCCTTTCTGAATACTGAAAGGTCAATATCTTCACATTCCATCACTTGGCTGACTGACTGAGTTTGCTTTTACGCCGCTTTTAGCAATATTCCAGCAACATCACGGCCGGGGACACCAGAAATGGGCTTCACACATTGTACCCATGTGGGGATTTGAACCCGGGTCTTCGGTGTGACGAGCCAACACATTAACCACTAGGCTACCCCACCGCCCTTCCATCACTTGGAGTTGCCTCTCCAAGATGACTAAATACAACTAATTGTTCATTCACACTTGGCTAGTATTCCCTTGCAAATTCCTCTCTCAAATTATAAGGTAAAGGTACAGTCACCACAAGAGCTCCTACAGCATTAATCTGTCTGGGCCCCGTTCCTCAAAGCGATCGTAGTGCTACGACAGTCGTAAGCCTATGTTAAAGTATGGGAGTTACAATCACCTTAGCGCTACGATTGCTTTGAGGAACGGGGCCCTGAAGTCATTCCAGGTAAAAGTTACAGGTACACATCCAACCCTGTTGGAGTGAGTGAATGAGTTTAGTTTTACACCTCTTTTAGCAATATTCAAGCAATATCATGGTGGGAACACCTGAAATGGGCTTCACACATTGTACCCATGTGGGGAATCGAACCTGGGTCTTTGGCGAATGCCTTATCCACTAGGCTACCCCGCCACCCTACCTACCCTGTTGGAGGTGGTGGTTTGGCTGGCATGGACATCGGTCGAGGTGGACCACCCTGGGGACGTGATGGCCTCATCTCCACCTTTCCATCTGAAGTAACAAGTTAGCTACATACCAAATAAACAATATAATGATGACGATTTTTAAGGTGTGTTTGTGTGTTTGTGTTGGGGTGGGTTGGTATGTGTGTATGGGCGTGTCACCAAATCAGTGATGCTGCTGGGGGGGAGGGGTGTTACCCATTTTGTTCTGGAGGTAGGGGTGTCGTCAATTTTGCACACATGAACTAGGGAGGTGGTCTATGATTTTGTACATAACATGCATGGGAGGTGGGGGTCATTTACTTTGTAAATAGATCTTAGGGGGGTATTCACATTGTACATGCTTCTCCATAAAAATCATCATCGTGCCCCCAGCCATAAATGAATTTTGTGAAATCACTGTAATAATTTAAATGTTTATTACTAATGATACTAAACATTGAACAGAGCTATTTCCTCTTTCCTTAAATAAGTGAACACAATTATTAAGTCTAAAGGAACAAAATGAAAACAGTTCATGAGAATCAAAACACATATCCATTCTTCAGTAAGTTTAACCAAAGTGTATGCTTTACCCTTTTCCTCAGCTGGTTGTCTCCTTTGAGGAGGTCCTGAAGGTCGGAGGGGTTTGGCCTTGGGTGAGTCCTCTTCCTCTTCTTGAGATGCCTCGTCTGATGTGCTCTTCTTCCCCATTGAAGGCATTGGTCTACCAGAAGGTCGAGGTGGTGGTTTGCCCTTAGGTGACTCCTCCTCAACATTGGCAGAAACTTCTTCAGTCTTCTTTGGTGTTATCATTGACATTGGTCTACCTGATGGTCTTGGGGGGCGCATCTTGGAAGATTCATCTTCATCTTGTGCTGTTTCTGGCTTTGATGTCATCATGGAGATGGGTCTGCCTGATGGACGAGGTGGGGGAGGTCGGGATACACCTTCATTGGAATTATCAGAGGTTCTTCTGGGAGGAGGAGGTCTTGAAACAGCAGGTGTGTCTTCAGGAGTAGCTGCAGCTCTAACCGAAGGAGCATCTCTGGGAGACTTATCATCTGGAGAGGAACTATCACTTGGTACAGATCTTGGCTTGGCTCTCGGCTTCAGAGGAACATGTTTGGAGATGTTTCCTCTTCAGTGCCACTTCTACCAGACTCTGAATCTTCCCTTGGAGAACCAGATGAAGACTTTCGAAGTGGTTTTTTTTTACAGGAACAGGTTGTTTTTCATTATCTACCTGCTGTTCAAATCTTGCAGCAATGGACACAGGCCGCTTCGCAGGAACTGGCCTTGGTGAAGTGGATCCATCCTGTTCCTTGTGAACAATATCACTAGACAACCCTTCAACAGAGCTTGGCCTTTTGGCTGGAACAGGGGGCATGTTTCTCATCGTCACATCAGCATCTTTATCTTTGCTGTCCTCATCTGCAATCTCCTCTGTTTCATGCAAACGTTTGGGTTTTGGAGGTGGTCGGATTATTGTGGGTCTCTTAGTAGTTGGTTTTGGTGGAGGTGCCCGTGCCATATCATCTCTATGATCATCACTTACTATCTTCTTTTCCTCGACGTCAGGTGAAGGTTTAGGTCTCGGCAGGACTGTTGGTCTGGGTTTCGTTGGAGATGGTGGACGACCTTCCACATACAGCTTCGGTGGGACAGGTGGACTTGTCTCATCATGTTCATAGGCTGAAGATTCCTTTGGAGTTTCAACAGTTGATCTTAATTTAACTTTAAATGGTAACCCTTGACCTGTATCACTTTCATTTAAATTAGGATCCCGTTGAGGTCGTCCAATAATATTTGGTCTTGGTTTAGGTTTTTCAATTTTTGCATATTGAGGCTCTGGTTCATTTGTTAAGCTACTGTCTGTTTGTATCACAGATTGTTCAACTTTATCACTCTCTTCAGCAGCATGTTTATTCGGTAAAACTGGCTTCGACGAAATGCTTCTATTTTCTTCTCGAGGACTAGGAAGTGGTTTTGATGGTCTAATAATGGTTGGTTTAGCTGGCTTGGGAGGAAGGGATCTTCCCTCCTCACTACCATCAGACTGACTGAATATTGGTCTGGAAGCAAGGACAACAGGAACTCCTCGAGGAACAACTTCAGGCGGAGACAGATCAGCAGAGGCACCTCGGGCTTGTATGATGGGTTTGTCATCGTGTCTGACAGAACCAGGCCTCATGGGCGGAGGAGGCTTGGAAGAAGGCACTGGGTGAGATGAGGACAGAGATGTGTCTCCCAGGAGATCAGTCCTGGGTGGAGGTGGAGGTGGATGCTCTGACTCCTGTTTCAGAGGACCAGATGATGGGTTGAATAACGGCATCGGAGGAGGCAGGCCACACTGGTCACTATCATCATCTAGCAGATTTGGGTAGATAGAGGGCACACTGGACTTGCTCGGAGGTGGTGGTCGAATCTGATTGGGAGGAGGTCGTGGTCTCATTGGAGCATTGCTTCCTTCCTCAGCTGTGGCAGATGAAGTAACTGAAAAAACAGTAATGCACAATTCATCGGCATTACCAGAACAAGGAGATAATACAGGGTGTCTCATTCAACTTGAAATATTGTTTCAGATGATGTAACCGTATGGTCACTACAGGATGCTAGGTGTACTTTAGACTAACATCAGCAACCCATGCTTGTCGTAAGGGGCTACTAATTTGATCTGGTTTTGCATTGTATTTTTTAATTCATATTGAAAACAGGCACTGTCTAATATCTAGTCTAAAATTATTGAAAACTCAATATATTTTTTAGGAACTGATGAAAGGGTGATAACTCTTAAACTGGACCATTCACAAAGTGACGGCAACCAGAATTACATGTGTCTGGAATGACTTGCATATGTTAATTATATGTTGGAGTACAAGCGATAAACTACACCCAACCTTCTTGTCAATATGTTGGACGGTTGTTTGTTTCAAAATGTCTTAACTATTTTCCCAAAGCATTTGAACAAACGAAAAAGAAATGCTTTATTTCTCCATGTGCATTACTCTGAATCATATTAGATCAAAGAGATGGATACACATTGCTCAGGCTACTCACCAGGTCGAGGAGGGGGTCTGGAGACAGAACTGTCCACAGGTTTCTCTTCTGGCTTTTGATTTTGCTTTTCATCACGGAATCCAACTTGGCTCATTGGCTTTGCACTTACAATGGTTATCTCTGGCCGTCTTGAAACAAACAAACAAAAATATTATAATTTCAACTATTAACTATTGATTTATTTCTGTAAAAGTAAACATGAAGATGGTGAGATTAAAGGAGGTTTGTACATCTTGTTCAAAATTATAGTACATATATGGCGATGTATAACTATACGTGCGTGCGTGCGTGCGTTCGTGTGTGGGGTTGCCTTGGATCAAAGTGCAGAATAGGTTGGTGGTATCATATGCTGGGACCAGGTCAAAAGGTACGCATGACAAAAGGGACGCAAAACAGAAAAGTCAAAAGGGCCGTAAGAAAGTCAAAAGGGCCGCAAACCCCTAGTCAAAAGGGCCGCATCAAAAAGTCAAAAGGGCCGCATCAAAAATTCAAAAGGGCCTCAGACTCCAAGTCAAAGGGGCCCCATATAACATATTTTTAAAGTATTACAATAAAAGGTTAAACATCTATACAATGTATATTTTATGCATACTAGTCCTGTTTATAATAGATATGTTTTTCAATATTAGGCCAGACCAATTTTATTTCTTTTTTTTATGGATTTTTGTCCTCAGAAAACCTAAAGGCAGGAAGGAAAAAAATAAAAAATAAAAATCACTAGTCAAAATAATTTTCCTTTTAAATACTAAAATTATTTTATTTTTGGCCATTTATTCATGAAGTTTTATGTGGGGGAAATTGAAAATTTTAACTATAAATTGTATATTTATATACTTATGCTATCTCACGACTTGCACCTCTCTCTCTTCATTCGACCATGAGTGGAAACGAATTAAAACTTTGCTCCAAGGCCTACCTTGCCCCTCCCGTGCTGTGCGTGCCTTCTGTGTCAGTCGTGCTCACTAGTCCATGACAGCACGAGGCATGCGCAGTCCTCACCCACTTGATCACCTCACATACTCATTCTCGATCTTGGAGCCATAAAAGGACAAAACCGAAACGTTGGTAATCTATGTAGTGGGGAGGTAGGGAGATAGGATAAGTATATAAATATACAATTTATAGTTAAAATTTTCAAATTTTTAAACTTATCCTATCTCACGACTTGCACTTATCCCACGGTAGGAAGGTGGGTCATAGATTACCCGAAATTCAAGCGATAACAGCTAAGTGTTATGCCCAAACAACCGTAGGAAGCAACTACAAGGTAGGCCAATAACTACCAAGTTACTACGTGCCAGGGTTAGTTCGAACCCATTGACTTACTAAGCACAATTGCTCCCAGGGACCGGGATTCCCGAGCAATGTGGTGTTCAGTCACTACCTTCACAAAGTGAAAGGACGTAGCTTAACGAGTGTAATCAGTCGCATCGCCACGATTTCCAAGGTACCCCCGTAATAAAAGTCTAACGACTAGTATCGGGCCACCCCCTGCTTCGAAACAACCCCCACAGACACCGTCCCGAGGAGGGTGAAAGAGAAATTGAATCGGTAAAACTCACAATTTTAACGTTCAGTACCACAACATCATCTTATGACTTCCACTACTTACCACAGTAAGATCACATAGATGTGTATAGGCACTTAGGAGCATGAACGCTACAAAGTTTAACACTTCAGGAAAGGAATCACTTCACTGACTTAATTACTCCGTGGAGCAGAGGACAGGAAGTGAGGTGGCGACTCTCTGTAGTCTCAAACAAATGAGAGGAGAAATCTAAATCCCGGAAGACGTAAATCAGAAAAAGGTTTTCAGATTTATTCAGATTGTACACAAGCAGAAACGATCGCGACTTGGGATCAACTGCACAGTGGGATCCATATAGCATCGGAGCACAAGGAAGTTCATTATCTGCGATGTTGTGCCGCTGATAACTGCTGGGCAAGGACGAAAGTGGTCCAAACTGATGAAGGCCTTGAATATCCGGCCACCGACACATCTCTGAGGTAATGAGACGAAAATACTGTGTCAGATCGCCAAAAACAACCCTCCATTATGGCAGTTAACTAGCAGTTGCTATGCAACGCCATAGTAGAAGCCAATGTCCTGGTTTCATGAGGGTTGATTGTGCGAGGTGGTGGCGAACCGCAAAAGTGTAGGCTCGTGAGTATTGTAGCTCATAGCCAATATGAGAGTGTTGAGTGAGAGACTTCCGCCTTGGAAGCAGTAGACAAGGGTATAAACAGTCTCTTTACATGACGGCGGCGCTCTTGGCGATGCTTTTAAAGTTGTAACGCTTCTGAAGTGTAACACTTCGGGGAATGACTCACTTCACTGACGTAATTAATCCGTGGAGCAGAGGACAGTAAGTGAGGTGGCGACCCTCCAGCGCCTTCCCTCAAAAAGCGAGACCCGCGATGGTCAGTTCGAACCCATTGACTTACTAAACACAAGTGCTCCGGGACCGGGATTCGCGAGCAATGTGGTGTTCAGTCACTACCTTCATGAAAGTGAAAGGACGCAGCTTAGCGGTGTAAACAGTCGTGATTACCACGATTTGCAAGGTCTGACGACCAGTATCGGGCCAGCCCCCTGCTTCGAATAATAACCCCACAGACACCGCCCCTTGAGAGTGAAGGGGTAATTGAATCGAAACTCACAAGTCCAAGAAGAATCGAAGACACAAATCAGAAATAAAATTCAGAATTTTATTCAGATTGTACACAAAGCAGAAACGATCGCAACTGGTGATCTGCGCTGAAGCTGATGGTTGTCCCGAGTGCTGAACAGGCGATAATGACAATGCTGAATTCCAATTCGTTGTGCCGAAGGGCCCTTTCTCCTGATGACCACTGCTAGGCCACTTGATGGAGAAAGTGAGCGCCCAAGCTTGCAAGATGTGCCAACAAATAGGTGTTGAGTCGGTATGAAGGGCACCCTAGAGACTCCAACACAAACATTCCACTTGTTGAGCCACCAACGAAAGACTGAATGTAGTTGTGCGGGAAGACGAATCAACTCCCTGGGGTTGTCCCCGATGTATGGGCACAGAACCATCTGAAGAGGGCAAGCTGCAGCTGGCCCCTGTCAGTCAGCACTTGTGCCGACGCCAACCACCCTAGTAACTTCTGCCACTGGCGAAAAGGTGTGGGTTGGACCAACACTAGTGGTGCGTTGCACTGAATCTTGTCCCACCTCTCCTAGGGCACAAACATCATGACCTGGCGTGTTGAAGATTGTCCCAATAAGAAGAAACAGCGGGTCGTAAGCGGGTCGGTGTTACCCCTAATTGCTCCGAATTTAGCAGCCATCCTAATTGCGTGAGCAACTTGATGGTGAACTGTCTGTGGAAAGGAAGGACGACTGGATCCTGCTGGGCTTGAACACAGTCGTCGATATTGTTGTCAATTGTCACGCTTCGACAATGCAGGTAGCTAGTTATCAGAATGGGTATCTGAGTAAAAACCCACGGGGCTGCGCATATGCCCATACAGCAGGATCCTCCATTGGTATCAATGGACGCCCCATATAAAGTAAATCGAAGATACTTCCAATAGTCTGGATGTATCGGATGTGAAGGTAGCGTCTCACAGGTCGAGGGACTGACTGACTGACTGAGTTTAGTTTTACACCGCCTTTAGCAATAATCCAGCAAAATCACGGCGGGGGGCACCAGAAATGGGCTTAACACATTGTGCCCATGTGGGGATCGAACCGGGTCTTGGGCATGACGAGTCAACGCTTTAACCACTAGGCTACCCCACGGCCATCGCAGGTCGAGGGAAATGAGAGGTCTAACCACTCTTGCCTCTGACAAAAAGATATCTCCTGATATAAGAACGTTCAATAAGTCAGTTCTGACGGAGTGCTCAATGTAGTATGTTCGGCGCATGGAGATTGTCAGTCAATCTACAGGAACGTTCACATTATAAACAAATTGTAGAAATTCGTAGGATCGGTGACCTCAGGAACGTTACTTTTGGCCGAACAAAATAATGGTGCGCCAGGTGGAGTGATATAGGTAGTAGATCGCTGCCTGGTGACAGTCCTTGCATAATGCAGTGACCTCTGAACTCAGTGCTTGACTAGGCAAACCGTTCACAGGTGTTTCTGTCCGTCACCCTCAATAAGCAGTCTCTCTCGACTGGCTGTCAAAATCCCGACACAGTCACTCTTATCGGGAATGGCAGCGTTCTTTGTTACTTGCATTTATAGGCTGGACTTGGTATCCGATTCGTGGGACCAAGAGAATTCTGCAAGGGCACTTCATAGTCACTCTAATCATCAAAATTCCGGTAAACAAACAGTAGTCCGCCATTTGCAAACGTTACACACGAAAGTGACAAAAATACGGACAACATGGTCTTTGGTTAACCGGGCGAGTCGCAACCCATAAATTCCGGGCTGAGCTATGCTGGCTATTTGACAAAACATTGCCAGTACCATGCGCAAGAACTTCATCCATTTGTTATCTGTCCAGGAACTTGCTTATCATGTAAAACAAAGTGAGCTGAAGATGATTTGCCGCCGTCTGCAACAATTGCACCAAGGGATACACAAACACGCTGTTACGAAAGTAGTCTGTAGTAACAAGACTTATCGGAGCCGTCGAGAGTAATTATTCTTGGCTCGCAAGCGTATCTAGTTATGCCATATCGGTGGTTGCAGAACTGATATCTACACCTAAGGGTAGAATCGTTGAACCGAATCATTCATCAAAAGTGAAGAACGGATGGTAGATTAAATCTGAATGAGATGAGCTCCGGTCACGGAGGACTCTTGAGAACTGGGATCGCCAGGCCGTCAAGTGCGGCGTGATATCTCTAGATGACTGCGCTACTAACAACACATGTAAATCAAATCGGCAAGGTGAAGCACACAGCTACTACCTCTGTATATTGATCTTGAACGGCCAGGTGAACTGGTTCGACGATAGGGAGCTTTCGACCTGGTGAAACGATACGAGCCAGCTGGTAAATCAGTTCAGGGTGGTGAGCCGGAAAGTTGACGTGATCTGAATCAGTCCGATTTGATCTGCATCGTGACTGATCTGGATCGGTTCGGTAATCCGAAACGGTTAAATGATCTCAGCTGATGGAGAAGTCTAGAACACTCAGATGAACCAGTGAGGCGAGGTGAAATGTTCCGGCCGAGGTGAATCGTTTCTGTGCTGTGAATTGAATCGATGATGTGAACTGTTTCGGCGATAAGAAACAGTCCTAATATTATGGCAAACTGAGTCAATGTTGTATTCACATACGGTGTGGCGAATGGGTTCGGCGATTTGACGAAGTAGATCGGATGTGTGAGTCAACTGGTAACACAGAGCGTTTTGATGAGGCGGAACCACGAGAAGACATCTAATGATGCGTCCATAAAATTATCACCGTCCGACATGGGAAACTGCGGACGACGAGCAGTTAATACCGGTCGTTAAAAACGGGGGTTTGTCGGGTGATCAACTGTTGAAGTGTAACAAGCTCTGACTGCCAGCCATCGGGAGCAAGTATGTCTACATGCTCTAAAAATGTCCTTAATAAGGGAGCACATTCCCGACGTTTGCTCCAGGAACATGACGATTGGGGATCCGAGGAAGTAAATATTGTTACAGTGTGCGCAAAATTACGCTACTGAGTCTAGACTGACAAGACGATGTATCTTGATTCACCTAAAGTGAATGAGACCGACTTCGAGAATCACTCTGACGAAAACACACCGTACGGCTAGGTGAACCGGATCGAAATGGCCAACCACCTCGACCAGGCGAGACTGAACGACTACGGGAATCAAAATGCTGATGGTGTGTCGAACTGAAACCTATGTTGAGGTGAACTGAGTCGGGAATGTGAACCCGTTCGTCCTGGTGAACCCCATCGCGTACGTGAATCAGTTCGGTCAGGTGAACCCATTTGATTACGTGAATCAGTTCGGTCAGGTGAACCCATTCGAAGATGTACTGGTGAGCAGGCTCGGCCGTGTGAGCCGGTTCGGCCGTGTGAGCCGGTTCGGCATGGTGAGCCGGCTCGGCCATGTGAGCCGGTTCGGCCGTGTGAGCCGGTTCGGCATGGTGAGCCGGCTCGGCCATGTGAGCCGGCTCGGGAAAGTGAACGAGACCTAGAACGACTCCTCCCAGCCGTGGAAATAGGAGAGCAGGTACGTTCCAACCGCGCCGATCCCCGCTTCAACGATGAATGCTTAGAAGTTCTCGAAGTTTGTGATTGTTCCGAAGAAGCAGACCTAGGAGATAATGTAGATCGCAGGTCTGGCGTAGAAGAAAATTAATATCGGTCATTACCACCCTGGTACGCTCATGAGAACTTAAACTGGGTGAGGGAAGCTCCCCTAAAAGCCTTCTAACGTTCTCAGATAAATAGGAATCCGGCGAAGGCGTCCATAAAATCTTCCGTCAGAGAGACGGGCAATTGAGAACGGTGAGCAGTGAGGGTGGGGCGATCTAAGCATTGTTTCTTAGCGGGAGATGGACCAGACCCCGCAGAATTAGTCCTAGCCCTATCTGCCAAACGTCTGGCACAAGCACGTTTGTAAAATTTAAACGCCTCATTAGACAGACCTGAACACTTCGGACAGCGTGTGTCCCAGTCACAAACACCCACATAATCAACACACGATGTGTGTGGGTCCCATGCTGAAATTACTTTATTACAACGGGTGCAAAACTTCGGCTTACTGGCCTGAAATCTTAGCAAATCTTAGACGAAAAAATTTTCACGTCCACTCAGTGGAGCGACAAGAAAGAGAATGAGTATGTGAGGTGATCACGTGGGTGAGGACTGCGCATGCCTCGTGCTGTCATGGACTAGTGAGCACGACTGACACAGAAGGCACGCACAGCATGGGAGGGGCAAGGTAGGCCTTGGAGCAAAGTTTTAATTCGTTTCCACTCATGGTCGAATGAAGAGAGAGAGGTGCAAGTCTTGAGATAAGATAAGTTTAAAAATATACAATTTTAAAAAATTGGGGGTGGGGGGGAATTTACAATTTTGGCCAATAAAAACATGAGGATTTTATTTTTTGAGGAGGGAAAATTATATTGTTTTTTCTTTCTTATTCTTGAAAAAATAGGACCGGCGGACCCGATGAAAATAATGACAAACAATAGATGTATGTAATGGTTATTTATTTCATTTCAGTATAAAAACACTTATCATTTATGATTATGACAAATACTTTGGCAGAGAAATACATTTAACAAAAGTACCACAACACACCAGTAAGAAACTAAAAAATGACACAAAAACACATATACGCAATATATCCCTTTTATGCCATATTTGTGTTTTGACAATCATGTAAGTTGTCACTAATCCCTAAGATGTCTTGTTTTCTCTGCTCTTCAGTGAATACTGTCAGAATATTTTAGAGTATTGTTTTCTTTGTTATTAAACCTTACATTTGACACTGTGCCGACTCTGTGTCAATATGTGACTATAAAATCATGGACAGACTTGTTTTTAATATCACTTCCGTCTACTATGGCAGTAAAGTGTGTGAAGTGTTTGAAAACCAGGAAGAACCATCATGCCATCAAGTGTGATTGTTGCACAAGATGGACCCACAGGACATGTGACACAGGAGTGGCAAGAGACCAGTATTTACAGTTTGTAGGGATCATTTTCCTTTCAACTGTCACATTATAAACAGGACTAGTATGCATAAAATATACATTGTATTGATGTATAACCTTTCACTATAATTCTTTAAAAACAGATGTTATTATTTTTTTATATGGGGCCCTTTTGACTAGGGGTCTGAGGCCTATTTGACTTTTTGATGCGGCCCTTTTGACTAGGGTTTGCGGCCCTTTTGACTGTCTTTTGGCCCTTTTGACTTTTCCGTTTTGCGGCCCTTTTATCATGCGACCCTTTTGATTAGGACCCTCATATGCTTGTCTCCCTTTGTGTGACCAGAACAGATAAGTTCACTTGTGTCTTAAAGTTGTTTCCTATTGAGATCCAAGGCAGAACCGGTCACTGGCGTCCCCCTTCATGACCAGGATAGAATGGGTGAATTTAGAGTCCCACACTTGTTTCCCCTTCACATTTCAGGGCAGCACAGATTGCTGGTTTAACATGCTTGCCTATCCTTGGATGGCCAGGACAGAATACATGGTTGGTTGGTTGGTTTTATAGTTTTAGGGTGACGTGGGTCAATAAGAAGCCTCAGAATACATGGCTAATATCACATAGTTGTCTCCCCTTGGATCACCAGGATGGAACAGATGGAGAATGTCCCACAGTTGTCTCCCCTTTAGATCCCAGAGGCAGATTAGGTTTCTGGTATCCCATGTTTGTCTCCCATTTCATTTTCACTTCTGCCAGAAATACTTTGCTCTCTTTATTGGAATAAAATGTTAATCTGTTTTTGTTTATTTCTGGTTGAGCACTTCTAGCTTTATCTAACATTTGACAATGGATGTGTTGCTATATATTATTTCAGTAGTTTAAGATGCAAGCCTGAAGCAGATAACCCAGAGGCTGATTATGTAAACACAGATCAATGGCATTCACTGCCTGTGGGACAACAACTGAGTGACTGGTTGAGTGAGTGAGTTTGGTTTTTACGCCGCTTTTAGAAATATTCCAACAATATCACGACGGGAGACACCAGAAATGGGCTTTACACATTATACCCGTGTGGGGAATCAAACCCGGGTCTTTGGCATGACGAGTGAACGCTTTAACCACTGGGCTACCCCACCGCCCCGTGACTGCCTGAAGTGAGTGACTGAATGGACTGCGTGAGTGAGTAACTGCCAGGCCAGAGTGAGTGAGTGAACACCTGGAGTCAGTGACTTGCTAGCGAGTTAAAAAATAGATTCATAACCATGTGGCCCCTCAGGTAACTGGATCACTTGTCCCCATGGCAACAAGACAGAATCACCTAACCAGGAATATATCTGATTGGGACAGATTACTTTAAGTACAATTCTTTCAATACAAATAAAACAGCAGTGTGTTGAGGAAAGATTTCAAGTTATTCTACCTACTTTTTAACTGATGCTTTTGAGTTAGTGGGCTTCTCTGCTGATGGCCGTGGAGGGATTTTGGAGGCACTTGGTGGAGGCACAGCTGGTCTTCGGGATTCACCTTGACAAGGAAGACAATGGTAACTTATAAAAACTCAACTTTTAAAACTATCAAGCCAACACATCAAGGACAGATGAATTCATTTGGTTTAGGCTTACTTTTATGACACAGCACAAAACAGTTTGAATTTGGAAACACTTTATTATGAAACTGTTGAGTGAGTGAGTGTGGTTTTATGCCGCTTTTAGCAATATTCCAGCACTGGGCTTCACACATTGTACCCATGTGGGGAATTGAACACCAGGTCTTCAGTGTGACGAGCGAATGCTTTAACAACTAGTCTACCCCACTGCCCAATAAAACTGTTGAGAAATGAACTTACCACTTCCATCATTGGGTTTGGGAGCAGGTCTACTAGGTACTGGCGGCACTGGTCTCGCCGCCCCATCCCCTTCCCCTTTAGGGGAGGGTGGAGGCCTGGCAGGAGCAGGGCGAGATGGGACTGGTCTTTTGGGCTCCTTTCCATTTGAACCTGCATGTGTAAGATTTCAGTATTCATTATGTCTACTTTAGGTAAAGAATTCTTTTCATAATAAAATCATCAAACTAAGATGTGTTAAATAAAGATATCAGCAGATAAGCAAGACATATACTTTAATTATATAGTCAAAATGGTCAGTTATACAATGAAACTAGCACAGAAAGTTAATGTTTATTACCCAATCTTTGAGGAGTTAGAAAACAAAAAGATACAACTAGAAAATGATTAAAATTACTTGTAACAATTAATGTTTTGTGTGATAATTGATTAAATACATAACATGGGTCTTATAACATGTATGAAGAGAACTTAACTTTAACAGGAGTAAATAGACATACAGTGAAACCTGTCTAAACCAGCACCCCACGGGACCGAAATATAATGCCGGTTTAGACAGTGTGCCAGATTAGATAGTGATCATCATCTTCCAACATGGCTGCCATTTACACTCATGAGTCTCAGGCTGTATTGGATAAAGGGACCCTGATTGGACTTCTCATACCCATGCCGGCTTAGAGAGTTTCATTCACTGCGCAACCTCTACTTCCTGATTATCTAGCATGCCAAGATTACTTAGTGTATTGGATTATGGGTCCTTGATTGGACCGCTCATACCCACGACTATTTACAGGTGCCAGATTAGACAATGTTTAAATGATCATAATATCGTTGTAAAATGGCGGGACCAAAATTTTATGCCGGTTTGGACAATGTGCCGGATCAGACAGGTGCCGGTGTTGGCAGGTTTTACTGTATATACATTAATGTAATTTCATCGCCGCGCAATCACTACTTCCCAATTATCTAGCGTGCCAAGAGGATTAATTAGTGTATAGGATTATGGGTCCTTGATTGGACTGCTCATACCCACGCCAGATTAAACAGTGTTAATTACAGTTAAAATTGCTTATTGGGACAGGAAAGTCTTGCCGGAAAACGAAAAAGACAGGTGCCAGATTAGACAATGTTTTAATGATCATAATATCGTTGTAAAGTGGCGGGACCAAAATTTTATGCCAATTTGGACAGGATCAGACAGGTGCCTGTGTTGGCAGGTTTCACTGTATATACATTACTGGAATTTTACTTAACATCTGGCACTTTAAATAGCATTCACTAGCATTAGTATTTCTCCGGCTTGAATGAAACAACTTCAGGCCAAATATATCACAAAATATGGAGAAATAAAAATGTATTGATATTTCTATTACTGATCAAAATTGACAGGCTAGCTAAAATTTGTAAAAACACAATCAGTTAAAATTATAACAAATGTGGTTTAAGAGCTTGTTAGAACTATGCAAATATTCCAGAATTGTTAATTTACATGTCTAAATATGAGGTAAGTCTCTTAATAAAATTTTATCTAACTTCTTTATCATTGTCAAAATGTCAACATGCAGCATATGTATCAATATCGTAAATCAACTGAAGTGAGCCTAAAGTCTGCAGCTGCACAATTCCTTATAATTGCCTATTTATCATCTCTTGACCAAAGAAAACAATTCAAGCATGTGTATTTACCTGGTTATTCAGACAATATCATTAATTACCTAGGCTTTTTAAGGGGAATTTGGTCTTCACAACATAGATATTGCTAAACACTATAAATAGCACAGATGATGAAGCCCCAGGGGTCACCATGGCTACATGTCTGCTGACCATAACGTTTGATGATAAGCATTAAGTCAGCGATAGCTGTGATGCCCTGCAGTGTTTATATCCATACACATAATCACTATGATCATTGCTTACAATGAATCTACATTAGATTATGAACAAAGTAAGTGCTAGTTGCAAGTTCATTAGAATGCAGAAATATATGTGAATTGTTTGGGCAGAGGGTTGTAATAGAAACGTTTCCTTGAATTAGGGCAATGTTATTGTTAAATCACTGCATAAACATAAAAACAACAACAAAGGCACAGTCACAATAAATAAAAGATAAAGATGAATAGAGTTTGTCGGATACAGGAAGAAGCGTTTTGGATGTTTGTTATTTCTATGATATGAAACTTCCGTATAAAAGGGGAACAAGCTTACATGCATTTGTTGATGGCCTGATGATCGTTGGTCTCTTTGGAGGAAGTGGAGCCCCTCCTCCTGCCACGGTTTCTGTCATGGTAAGAGTAAAATTTACAAATGCTGAAAATATTGTCCCTGTTGATTCCTAACGTATAATGGTGTTTTGCGGATGCATTGACGTCGACATCTTAATGAACGTTGATCATCTCTTCATCCAGCTATTGAACATGTAAAGCAACAGTTAGCTTCCTACTTCGCAAGCACTTGTCAAAGTTTGCATTTAGAGTGGCCTCCCTTGGCGGAAGTACCGGAAGTAGCACTAAGCGATATTCCAATCAACAAAAATATGACAAGTATCGAAAGGTTAGCACTTTATTTAGATAGTTTTATCTCACACTTTTGCAGTTCCTGTGAGATACGCATGGTCACTTTTTGCAGGATGCAGTGTTTTGTCTCTCTGTTCCAAAAATGTGTAGGAAATATGGGCCGACGTGTATAATTTATTATGTTAATCTTTTTATTAAATCGTGAAAACAGCACGCTCCACAAACGGATAGATTCTCAAAGTGATATAGTCATAATATAGCAAAGTTTATGACTCTGATGCTTATAACTTCTTTGACGTCTTGATATGGAACCAGTTCCATGATTACCAGGACTGACACAAACACACCACTCGCTGTCTTTGGAAGTTCGTGCCAAGCCGGTCTTTGTCAGGTCCTGTTTCTGTCACAAAAAAAAACAACATCGTTATTTTTTGGCACTTTTTAATTGTACTTGGGAACTGTAGGAGATCTTTTGAAATGTGTATAGAATGTAAATATGCGTCCGAATATTGTACTTGTTGTTGAATCTGCCGTCTTTACTAGATGCACTGTTCTGCAATTCAGTCAACTCAGCTGACAAACGACCCCAAATTGAGATCTTATGGTTATCTACCACCTTTACACATGGGAACCCTCTTTCATTGTATTTGTTAGAAATGTTCTATCTCAGGATAGAAACACTTTCACACTATCAATCACTGTACATGCTGTATTGTCTGGTTCAGACTCTAGTATTTACACACCACTGTGAACACCCCAAATACTAACTTCAAGGGTCCTCTCAGGAAATTTTAAGGTCTTGTAAAGTAATGAAATAGTGTAGCATACTGCACTTTAAGTAGAAAGAAATATGTTTATGACAGGAATATTTATCATCTCAGAATTTGGCACAGTGAATATAATTGTGCATGTCTTAGGACGAAATATATATTTTGCCTTCCTCCGCACTGGACACACATCATTGTGTTCTGCAACAGACAAACAACAAACTGTGCTAGATTGAGTATTCATATGCATGACTGTCTGACCATGGACAACAGAATTCTGCTTGACAACGACATTAGAACCTATGTCAAAACGTCACCTCCACAGAATAAAAGAAGTTGTATATCCATAATAATTGTCATTATTCTTTATACAAATGTTATTTAAGTTCATAATGAAACAAAATTGAGTACAGTCATTGATAGTTGTACATGTCATTGAAAGATATGAATGAAATAAATACAGGTATCCAAGTTGTAAAAGAAACATTGAGCCATTACAGAGAGTGTTGTTATCAATGGTTATACTGTTTTATTATAAAAAGTTTCACATCTGTTAGTAGGCAATTAGGTACAAATTTGCTGGGTACTTGTGAATTATTTTGTGTGTTTCCCCGGAGAGTGAGAGAGAAAGTCAGGGTTTGATCCACGGGACACATTACATCAAAAGACGTTAAAAGATGGTACTTTTTGTTACCCTGCCTGGTGCTTAGGATCAGCTTAAGGGGGCATACAACAATGGCTTTTCAGCTTGAACTTAGTACATTGGGTAGCATGGTATCTTAGCAATGGTTAGTGGCCAAGTACTTCAAACCAGCATTCGTCTAGAACAGTACAAAGCAGATGCAGCCATACATATGCATGCTCATCACAAAATAAGTGCAATAATCTGGAACGTGATGTCCCATATACATTTGTGCTGATATGATAGCATGTTATTTTGGCTTTTATTTATTTTTAATGCTTACATGTTGGAATTCATGCTTGTCAGAAGAGGTGATTTGAAGGTTAAACATGTTAATGGAGGCTGGCCTGATGAACTGGGTGATGCTTGTCATAGTATTCAAACTGCATAGAGCATTGCTGATAATGTCAATCACTAGATCATCTCTCTGTGGCTTGATTATTTACCATGTTTACAGACCGCCATCATACATGTGAAGATCTCTTAGAATTTTGATATTCAGCAACCCGTACATACATCCTTGTCAAAAGATACAACTTTCAGCATAGGGTGGACTGGCCTTACAACTTGGTTGATTCTTGTCAAAGTATTCCAACTTCATAGATCATTGCTCATGATGTCAATCACTGGATTGTTTCTCAGAATTTGGACATTCGGGTAGCCATAGTGGTACATCCTTGTCAAAAGATGCAACTTTCAGTTAGAATCCCCACATGGGTACACTTGGTGAAGCTTGTTTCTGGTGTATTCGTGATGTTGCATGGAATATTGCTAAAATGATGTCAATCACTGGATTGTTTCTCAGTGGCTTGATTAATTACAGACCGCTATCATATATCTAGAATATTGGTGAGTTTTAGATAAACAAAATGTTGTTAATAAAATAGAAATATACCAGGAATTTCCTGACCTGATGTTTGTTTGTTTGTTGCAGTGGGGGAAAGTTCCTATGACTAACATGCGAAATGAGTGGTAGTTGGATAGCAGAGGCAAGGCTCTGGCCACAGGTGCTGCTTGATGCCAAGTGGATTAAAACAGACATACAGGTAGGCTGGTAGTTTTAGTCCTCATGTTAAATTGTACAATGTCTCAAGCTCCCTGTTGATATGATTGGCAATGTATGACTAAAGCATCTGGAAGGATTTTGAAGTTGAAAGGACATGAATACATTGCACTATTTTATGTCATGGCATTTCAGAGCTACTTCTGGCTCCTTCTTCAGGTGAATGCTTTGTGACATTGGTTTTGTTATCCATGGAAGTGGCATGTATTAACATGATTAATGTAAGACTAACATAGCAACCTGTGAAGATTTAGGGAAAGAACTGATCTCAAGTGACCTTTCTTGCACTCCTTTGGGCAAGAAGGATGACTTGTATGAAATGTGAGGTCAATTTACAGGTCAGTAATTGTCAACTGATTATGATGACCTACTTTCCTCATTATTATTTATTGATATGGTTCCCAGTGCCTCTGTAGAAATTAGAATTCATCTATATCTGTGTGAAAATGTTTGCTTTAAATGTGTAATAAATATATGTTCTTTGATCTAAATAGTCTTATTTAGTTTACATTATCATTGCCTTGACAATGCTGAGATTTGTTTGAAACTTTTGTCAAGAGTCATCAGAGTTCGAAATGATCGAACTATTATTTTCTAAAATGTTGCAGATTTTGGGTGTGTAAAAACAGATTACTGCCCTTGTCACACACCATGTATCTTCAAACTTGAAATAAATGGTACCTGAGACCAGACCAATTTTATTTATTGTTTTACGGATCTGCCAGTTGTATTTTTTCAAGAATAAGAAAGAAAAAAATTAATTAATTTCCCCAACTCAAGAAAATAAATTCTATAGGTTGTATTGACCAAAAATGTAAACTTACACGAAAAAATGTTTTAGTTTTTTTTTTGGCCCCATACTCTTCATAAATTGCCAAAAGTAAAATAATTTTAGTATTTGACTGGTGATATTATTTCTTTAGGTTTCTGGTGATAGGCGGTGGGGTAGCCTTTTTTTTCCCTCCTGCCTTTAGGTTTTCTAAGGACAAAAATCTGTAAAACAAGAAATAAAATTGGTCATGCCTGATTGACATTTGTATAGTAATCTACCTTTGAAAGAATGGACTAATATCAGATGGACTGGCTCAGTAACATGGATAATTGCATGTCACCATACCTGATAATATGTTGCTCGTTCTATCAACCACTAGTTTGTCTCACATACTTAATTGATTAGAGACTTCTATGATAACAAACAGATGGAATACTGCTTACTACAAAAGCACTTACCCGCATTCACTCACTCACATTAACCACCATATACAGTGTTTCCGCTGACTTAATTATTTATAGGACACAAAAGCACTTACCCGCATTCACTCACTCACATTAACCACCATATACAGTGTTTCCGCTAACTTCATTGTTTATAGGACACTGTCTGGTGACCTAAAATTTTACCGGTCATGAATGAAATTTGCCGGTCATATCCTATTACCATACTTTAGACTTTAAGTACTTACTTTAAAGTTATTTTTAGCCTGGGTATTTCCAAAGCATAACAGTTTTTGTGACCATGAAAGCACAGCCAAGACTGTAATTTCGCTTACCCATGATGTTTTTATTTTAATACATGATCATTTACCGGACACGGTGTCCTGCTGGCTTTCAATTTACCGGTCCCTAACAAATTTTACCAGCGATTTTCAGGTATATACCGGAGAACGGAAACACTGATATAGCTAGAGTATTGCTGAGTGTGGGGTTAAACAACAAACATTCACATATTAGTAGGAGTTATATGTGTGTTTGAATGCAGCTATGTTTTGCTAGGGGTCAGTTATCTGGTCAATATGAACCAGCTTGCTGTTCTGGTTGCTGATGCTCAGGTGATTTTTAATGGTGAAAATAATAATTAGCCATTTAGATGTTGACAAAATAATAGCAGAAATGATAAACTGCATGCTAGAAACTGTTGCTAATGACATCATCATCAGTCTTATAAGGTGTTCTTTCTTGTAGGAAATTGGTTGTTTTTCTAGATATGAATAGATGAAATGTTGCTGTTGCAGCTCACAGCAACATTTACTCACTCAGGGATTTACCTGGAGTCCTGTATTTGAAGGTCCCTGGGACTCATACTCTTAACTTTCATGGGTCCTGGACAACAAAATGGGGGTCCCAGACACTTAAATATTATTATTAATACTTTTATTGTATTGTGTATCATGATCATCACATTGTTACGGTAATTAAATTGCAAATAATACCATAACCCAGCTAGTAGCAAACTCAGTGATAACTTATTGTTACTTGATTGGAATTTTTACAAAAATATTTGGACTTTTTCTGCGACCCTGTGGATGCGCTAATAAATTTTATTGCATCCATTGTCAATTTTTATGCAGATAGGATGTAAGAATTTGCGTCCTGTAAATTTCCTGCTCACTTGTTCAGGAGATTGTATTTCACTATTCATTGTAGCCTCCATTTTATTGTTCCTATCCTTATGTCACGTATGTATTAACATGTTCACTGTATGTTCTCATGATCAACATAATTTCCCTGTAAACATGACACTCATGAAGATCTGTGTTAGAACTGGTCAGCAGCAAGAGGTGTAAGAGGTGACTAATGGGATTGGATGGTCAGGCTTGCTGACTTGGTTGACCCATGTCGTATCCCAATTACCTAGATCAGTGCTCATGATGTCGGTCACTACATTATCTGGTCCAGACTCATATTACAGACCAGTGCCACATAGTTGTAATATTCGTCTTTGAGACATTAAACAACAATCAAAACCCATTAAACATGGCAAGCAGTTACTGAAATGATGAAATGGCCCACATAGCCAGAATGTCATATGTGGCTGAAAGGCAGAAACTTGTGTGAGCAGTGGTGAGAAGAAAATTTGCCTCACTCTCAAGTTACATCTTCACCTGGTGAAATTGCTTGAGAATTGCTCAATGCAGTGTGAATTATTAATATCTCAAGTGTGAAACAAAAGCAGCAGGAATAATCTGTGGTTAACATGGTTAAGGGGAGAGAACTGTGTCAAACATATCTTTCAGTGCTGTCTATTTATCAAGCATGTTTAAAAAAATGTAATGTCTCCTAGAGCTTGTAGAGAACACCATGTCAAATAGAATGATAAATGTACACTGCCATCTGTGGAATCCTATTATTGGGATAATTTCCCAAGTCATAGTGGTTGATATAAGATACACGAGGCATTTCACATGCTCTGGGCCATCAGTGATTTGAAAGGGCTGTACTTGTACATGCTTTCTGACCCTGGGTCTATGGAGAGATTCTGTTCTGTATAAGTTCCAAAGATGTGTGCAGTTGCTATTCTCAGCTCCAAGCTATCTCATTCAAAAACAAGACATCTGTTCATCTAAATTGGGACAGTGACTTGGTTGACACATGTCGTCAGTTCTCAGTTGCATAGATTGATGCTTATGCTGTCGATCACTGGATTATTTACAGACCACCACCATATAGCTGGAATATTGCTGAGTGTGGCGTAAAACTAAATTTACTCACTGACTAACATAAGATTAATCTCAATACCTCAGAGACTTCATGCATTTGATTACCTGTTCATTTGTAATGTATATGTCATGGGTTTCCTTCAGGCCTCTCAGTAATATACTGCATGTGCGAGCGTATGTACGTGCGTGTGTGTGTGTGTGTGTCTGTGTGTGCATGTGTTTGTACATGTAAGTTTGCCTGTATGAACAATATCCTATTGTTATTTTTATTAACTGTGCAGAATTGTGTCCCATAGCTGTACACAGGACAATAGTTTAGTTTCATGGTTCATATCACACTGTGATAGGAAAAGATATGATGGGGCCATTAAAATGAATATGAATGTTATAGGAAAATGACTGGTCGTAGCATCATAGTTCATTCCGTTTGTGGAAACAACCAGTCAACAACTGGTGGTCTTTTTTGAGGAATGCAGATTAAAACTTTTATTGTTAAAGTCGTGAATGTTTGTCATTTCTGTGGATCACTGTGGTGATGCAGGATTTAATCTGCCAGTCCTTAAAGGCGACCAAATATGTCAGTAGTTAGGTTCTGTGATTTAGTTGAAGGAGCTTGATGGGCAAGCTGTCTAAGCCACCAGGCTAGTGATCCAGCGAGGTTGAGGTGCCGGAATCGAGCCCATTTGTGAGCCCACTAGTGACTGGGTGTAAAAGTCTTGGACTCAACTTTGTGTGCAGACTCTTTCAGTGTTGTCACAACCCCTAGTGTACAGTACACAACCCTGTGCACTTAAAAGAACCCACAAATCCGTTGGTATATGACCAGATGGTGGCCACATGAATACGTGCAAACACCTAGTTGCGGGTACAGCAACGTGCAGTAAACTTGGACAATGTACTGTGACTATGTGTCCCAGTCCACCCAGCTGCGAATGGGTACCTCGTAAGGATGGGAAAGTCACATTAACTTCGCCTCATGGTTGCACTAGTTGTATGATCCCCAGGGAGTAAAGATTGAAAAAATATGATGCGCTGTTCAGATTGACATCCAATGAATGAGGGAAAAACAAAGCACTTTGAGCATGCATGTAGATAGGATGGACTATAGCTCTATACAAATACCCAAATATAATATGTCTACATGCCCACTTGATTATCTGGTCAAAAATTGTATCATATACCGACCACCTTCTTTCAGTCAGGATATTGGTGTGTACTGTAAACAGCACTGAGACTTGCATAAGATCCGTGACACCAAACTTTAGGCCAATTACCAACTATTTTGAACAATGTACGTGAGAGACACCGACAACATATGACTGGTCACCACCACTGTACATCTCTGTTACCTGGCAATTGCTGTAGGGTTTGTTTAGGAGGCTTTACCGTGGTAAAATCTGATGAACAATTATGATTATATTGTTTCCAAATACCCACAGATGCTGAAAACGGCCATGTGTGTTCCTTCTGTTTTCTTTGTTTGATAAAATACAGACACATCACACATGCCTACAAAACATGAAGCTCCATGTGAATCCCAGCTGTC